CACCTACCAACTTATTTTGAATGATTTCATCACATACAATTACTATGCTCTACACTTCCATTAATACAATCCATCCAGAAATATCGGAAACTGAGAACATTCACCGCATAATTCAGAGACATGCATTAGTTACAAAATACATTTGTGACCAGATCATGACATGCAGGGATAAATCAACATTTAACTGAATGAGATTTAGTCATAAACATGCGTGAGTAAACCAAACAACTAAAGCATCTAACTCTATCCAAAACATGCATGCTTGGTTTGACAGTTTATCTCAACTATCCTAGCATTTTTTTCACACAACACACATCACCAACTCTCACAAATTGTGTTGGTGGACTGGATTCCCAACGTGAGCAGATCTTCCTTTCCATAACTCGATGAACCTGAAGCTATGGAGAAAGGTCTAGCTTAGAAACTGAGCCAAATAAATCTAGGCTAAAATCAAGAAAAAAAATCTAGATCTAACCGTGATTTCTACCCTTGACTACCCACATAATAAGTCGGCTAAATGATTCTTCTAGACTCGAGTCTGGATAAGTTTCAGCAGCGTTTGGGTAAGAGAATGGGTAGAAAAAGGTATGGGAAGGGTGATATTTATAGCCCATACCATGGAAACCCGCCTAGACTTCTTTATGCCAAGTGTGGAACATGCTGCCACGTGGCAAACTTCTACCCAATCTCAACCCAGACGTGCATAGCATGTGTAGATGAGGACACATGTTGGTTTGGTTGTGCTGATACAAAACACCCTTCACGTGCCCAGGTCAACCACCCCTCGACTCGCGGTCGTATTGCCTCGACCAGCGGTCATATTGACTCGACCCTTAAGCATTTATCTCGACCCAAATGAAAATTTCTCAACCCATATTCGTTTTTCTCGAACCAAACTGGATTTTGTCACCTTGTTCTAAATTTTTCAAGTTGAAAAGTTTTGGTTCCGATACTCAGTTGTATCCCGAGCATTGGTACTCGATGGGCCGTTGCAACAAGAGTGGTCAAGCTAGCTTGACATTATGCGGTTTACTCACTTAAGCTTATTTATTTTTGATCCAGATCGTTCTCTTGATTTTGGCCTAAGTAGTTTTTCCACTAATTTAAATGCTAGTGTCTTTTGTTAGCTCGGGTTGTATCGTGGCTGCTCGTACCGTTCTGTTGGCCCACTGCCTTGATCCAATAGCTTTTTTGACCCATTAGAGGTTTTTTTTTTTTATTGAAATTTCTGTTTATGTCTTATATGGTCGTTTCGACTCTTCCAATGTTGATTTTCAATCTTTTTAGGATCGGCTCCCTCGGCTGTCTTTAGCCCCCTTATCAGGGTTACTATAGTATCAATCATGATGCATGACCAATACTAGAGTATCAGTTAGAAGAGTATCGACCCTAGGCCTAGGGTGAGCCCGTGACTGGTGCATGCTTCTTCTGCGAACCACAAGGATACGTCTTTACTAAAATATGTGTAACTCTTCAACCACAACTCAAAATGACTTGAAAAAAAAACTCGATTAGAAATCTTAATCAAATTTTGAAATCTTTGGACCGTCTTGACATATGTATGCCAAACCGCTCAAACATTTCTAAATATATATATGCCAAATCAGTTTAAAGATTTCTAAATTTCAATAAAAATATTATAACCTTTTTAGTAAAGTACAGTTGTAAAGAAATATCACATAGTAAAATACAGTTGTAAAGAAATTTATTAGTTTTTTCATTTCAGAATTACAAAGTAGTAATAGAGCCAATAATCGCTTTCTCTATTTCAGACTTTCAGTAAGGAATGGTATCAGAATTAAATTAACTTCTGTACTTTAGTGAGAAATAGTATATGAGATAATTTTGTTTTTGTTTTGAGAAATATATACAATTTGACAGATAAGATACAGCGTAACAGGTAAAATAATAATATCGTATGTAAAATATATAATATTTATACCTTATACGTAAATAATAGGGATAATTTTTAAATGCTTAAAACGCTAATAAATCAATTCATTGAAAATAGAATATATTTAAAATAGATTTACTTTATAATGACTTCTGGTGTTAAATTTTCAAGGTTAATATTTCTCTATAAATACGAAAACATATTTTTGTTGGCCAACATCAACATTTTTTTTGTTATTTGTAAAATTACTTTTAAGAATGGCGGAAAACAAAAGAGGTCGTAAGAAAATAGAGTTGGTGAAAATGAAGAAGGATCAAGTTACATTTTCAAAAAGAAGATACGGTCTTTTTAAAAAAGCTTGTGAGCTTTGCACATTATGTGATGTAGATATTGGAATGATTGTGTTATCACCTAGTCAGAAAGTTTTCTCATTTGGCAATCCAGATGTTAAATCTGTAATTAACCGTTTCAACAATGGTTTTCATAACCCTCTTCAACTTCTGGGAGGCGGTCGGAACGCATTTATCCAAGCTCACAACGAAAAACTCAAAGAGGTAAATTTCAACTGTTTTTCTTTTCTTATTTCTATGATTTATTAAATAGATGATCAATTTTTTATATATTCCAAACCATAGATTATACAAATCAACTGAATGTATTTTATATATTTATATAAAATTTTTTGGTCTTTATATACACAATAAATGTTGTGGTTAATTGATAAATTATACATTGCAAAACAATTCGCAGGTGAATATCTGCCAATGATACATGCATAAAATTGGCATGAAATCATTTCACCAAAATTGTTTTACTCGTTTATATAATGAGATTGTGTTGTTTAAGAAATTCTGAACATGTAACACATACACAGCCGTTTATTTCCCTCGACAAATTAATATGAAAGCTTATAATGAAGGCTACTTTAATTTTATTTTTATATAAACATAGTGTTTACAGACGATATATATAATTGCAGGAGTTAGCAAAGCTTGAAAAGGAGAAAAAAGGTAAGAAAGTTTTGGATTATATACAAAATAAGAGAGAGCAAGTACCGAAATGGTGGGAAAAGCATCCGAATGAGCTTGACCTTACTCAAACCACTCATCTAATAAGTGCTTTGGAAGATCTGAGAAAGGAGTTGGGAGGTCAAACGTTGCAGACAATTGTGCCTCATAATATCCAGAGAGGAAGTCAAACTGTCACAAACGGTGGTCGTGGTAATATCGATAGTTTTGGCAAAAGAAGAATGATGGATGTGAATGATGGTCGTGGACATAACAATACCAACCTTTCTACGTTGCTTGATCCAGAATACATTATAAATAGGTCAATGTACAACCACAACCATCGCTAGGAACAAAGCTTGAATATCAACATCATCCAAATCATGGTTCTCATCACTTTAGACAAGCATTTTGGTTGTATTGTGTGTTTTAAATGATTAGATCTTTGGATAATAAATTGGTTTAG